GCCCCCACCGGGCCAGCCCTCCCCGGGGATGGGGCACAGGGAGGGGTGAGAAGCCTTGAGCCACACCCCCAGGAGCCTGGGCCCCACCCAGGAGGAGGGGCAGGGGAAGGCCCGAGGCGCCCTGCAGGTGGGGTCCCGCCTGGGGCCCGCCCCTCCCTCCCCACGACCCCAGGACCCCGTGGAGGAGGGACTCACAGTCGCACTCCCAGTGCCAGCAGCAGCCGTCAGGGTCCATGACGCGCACGGGCTTGAGGCCGTTGGAGCAGGTGGGCATGGGCGGGGGCTTGCACTCCACCTCCACGATCTCCACTGTGTTGTCATGCTTGCAAATGGCCATGAGGCACTCGCACAGCCACCAGGTCTCGTTCTCCTGCGGGCCGGGCGAGGGGCCGTCAGCCGACCCGCCAACCGGGACCCACAGCCGCCTCTTCTCAGCCCGCACCGGAGGCTGAGGGCCCCACCCGGGGCTGGAGGCCGAGGGTCCTGCCACAGCCAGCCACCTCGCTGGGCACAGAGGGCATGGTGACCAGGCCAAGGGCAGGGTGACCAGGCCAAGGGGAGGGTGACCAGGCCAAGGGCAGGATGACCAGGCCAAGGACAGGGCGACCAGGCCAAGGACGGGGCGACCAGGCCAAGAGCTCGGTGACCAGGCCAAGGGCAGGGCGACCAGGCCAAGGGCACTGTGACCAGGCCAAGGGCAGGGTGACCAGGCCAAGGACACGGTGACAGGCCAAGAGCTCGGTGACCGGGCCAGGGCAGGATGACCAGGTATGGCAGGCACAGTGATCAGGCCAGGGGCTCTACAGACCCTGTGCCTGGGAAGCTGCTGGAAGGCTCAGCCCTTGGATGACTGGCAAGAAGGTGGTACCTGAGGCCTTGGGTGCCCGGACAGGGCTGCACTCAGTGCCAAAGGAACAAAGCCACCCACAGTCCACTGACCTGTCTGGGAGGATCAAAGTCTGGGCACCCAGGGGGCTTGGTAGTGGCCGGTGTGCTGGGCGTCGAGGTCGTTGGCTTGGAGGGCGTGGGCGTGGGCTTGGAGGGCGTGGACGTGGGGGAGGGCGTGGACGGGCACGACCAGTTGTAGAACTCCAGGTTGCAGGTGACCGAGCAGTTCACATAGTAGCAGGTGTCTCCATGCGTGCCGTTGTACACCATCTCCCCTGTGGGGACAGAGGCCCATTCTCACACCTCTGGAGGCAGGCCCCTGGGCCACACCAGCAGGTGCCCAGGGAGGCCACTAGAGAGAAGACCACCCACAACTGCATCTGAGCCCACGCCTACCTGGGCCTCAGCCCTGGTTCCCAACCCATGGGGACGCCAGGGCCCAGAGCAGCCCCACCGCCGAGCTTGGGAGCAAAAGCCTCTACCTGGCGCGTAAAAGTGGGTTTCATTCAAGATGCAGCATTTGACGAGGGTGGAAGAGCTGAAATATGAGGTCGTGGTCATGACGGTGGTCGGAGAGGACAGGGGGGTGGGCGTGGACGTCGAGGCGCTGGCGGTGGGGGTGCCCGTGGTGGTCGTGGACACGGTGCTGGGGGTGGAGGGCGGTGCGGTCGTGGTCCCACGGGTGGGGGTGCCTGTAGGGCAGAGGGCGCGTGAGGGCTGAGGCTTCACAGCCGCAGCTGGCACAGGGTCCTGACCGCTCACCCAAGATGGTGTGTGGGGAGGCGGGACCAGTAGCCCCATCCCGGGTCTCAGTCGTGAGGCAGGGCATGGCAGTGAGCAGCATCCTCGTACTCTGAGGGCACCAGGAGACCCACAGGGACCTTGGCACCCCAGATGGCATCCCAGTCTGTGGCCACGAGAAGCGTGGGGGGAGCTGCATGGGCATGGAGTGGTCTGGGAGGGCCCAGGCCGGCCCCAGAGCCTAGAAGGGGGGCACAGGTGGCAGGTGGGGCCCCCGGGCACGGCCCTGGCAGCCTCTGCCTTCCAGCCATGGAGGCTGTCCTCCAGCCATGGGTGAGGGCCGTCCGTCAAGGGCTGCTGCCCGGGGGTGCAGTGCAGGGGGCAAGCGGGCAGCTGGGGCACGGGGCACAAGTCTCAGGCCAGGCCTGGCAGGAGGAGTGGTAGCCACATCTGCTCACCTGGAGGTGTCGTGGTGGTCCGAGGCGGTGGAGATGGTGTGCGGCCTCCCGTCGTGGTGACCGTCGGGACTGTGCTGGACGTCTCCACAACAGGCGGGGACGTGGTCCGAACGGTGGTCGACTCCGGGGGAGGGGAGGTGGACGGAGAGGTCCGCGGGGTGGAGACCTCAACCGGGGGTTTGGGTGTGGTAGACCCAGCAGGAGGCGTTAAGGGTTTCTGGGTTGGGGTCTCTGGGCTTGTGGTGGTGGGTGTTGGGGTCGGGGTCCCTGAGGTGGTGGTGGTGGTGGTGGTGGGTGTTGGTGTCGGGGTCTCTGTGGTGGTGGGTGTTGGTGTCGGGGTCTCTGTGGTGGTGGTGTTTGTGTC